TTACGATTTGTTAAGTGTTGTATTTGCGGTAAAATTTCTATATCGAGATTTATTAAGTGTTGCGGCCGCTATAAAATCTTCGAAATTCCTAGAATATTATTATTTGTTACGAAATTTGCATTTCGAGGTTTATTAAGTGTTATGCCTGTTACGAAGTCTGTATTTCGAGATTCATTATATATTGTATTTGGCACGAAAGTTATATTTTAAGCGGCATTATGCGTTCGATTTGCGACGAAATTTGCATTTCGAGGCCTGTTAAATATTGCGTCTGCTACGAAATTTGCATTTCGAGGTTTATTAAGTGCTGCATATTTGATGAAATCTGTATTTCGATGTTTACCAAGTGTTGGGTTTATTACGAAATCTGCATTTCGAGGTTCATAAAGTGCTGTATTTATATATCACGAAATCTATTTTTTTTCAAGATTCATTAAGTGTTGTATTGCATTTGCGACGAAATCTGCACTTCGAGGTTTACCAAGTGTTGTGCCTGCTACGAACTCTGCACTTCGAGGTTCCCAAAGTGTTATATGTGCTATGAAATCTGCATTTCGAGGTTCCCAAAGTGTTGCGCCTTCCACGAAATCTGCACATCCAGGATCATAGAGCGCTGCGCTTGCCACGAAATCTGCAAACGAACCATATATCCAAAAGTACGATTCATTGCACCTGTCACGAAATCTGAGTTCGTTGACGATCACCGCCATGTCTAAAGTGTTGCACCTGCCACGAAAATTGTCTTTCGAAGTAAAACAACTCCGACCCTTGCACCTGTCACGAAAAATCGATTTTGGAGCACCAAAATATGAGGTTTCCCTTGTGTCTGCCACGAAAAGTCATCACCATGTGCGAAAATGCACACGGCACCACAACGAGAGCGTAGTCGCTAGAAGCACCCAGATTCTGCGAGCCTGCGCAATCGAAATGCACAGTGACGATGTCGAGAGGCATGAATATATTGTAAATAGCAGCGGATTAACATCAGTTGTTTATCTACTACCGTAAGAACCCCTCAGTGTGCCCACACTGCTTGGGGAATGATTTGAATGTTCTTTGATAGAATTGAAGATAGAAATTGTAATTTGTAGTAGTTATATATTGAAGAAATGGATGATGAATTCATATTTATTCGTTTAAAATATGGAAATATTTGGTAATATCTATCTATGAAAAATCCTTTATAATTATAAAAATGCAAAATCCAAATATGTAAATATTATATAAAATCCTTTAAAATATGAAAAAAATTGTTCTTTTTTTTTGTAATATTTAGAAATCCATCGAATTCTTGATATATAATGAGAATAAAGAAGGTGTTATCCAATAATTCAAATGTCGTATATAAATATTTTCTATTTAATTGAACCATTCAAACATTCATAGTTCGCACACTTATTTATATTCTGGTTTATAGGTATTCCATTTGATTGGACCCGTTTTATTTGTGCGTTCAATTTTGGTTAAAATCGTTCACTGTTGGCCTATAGGAAAGAAAGCCCAATAGCCAAGAAATTGTTTGATTATTGAGGGTCCAAATATATATTTTTGGATACGAATTACTAAATATATAAGCTTTCGAATAATAATAGAAAAAGGTAATTTGGAGGTAAGGATAATGTTTTATTATATCTTGATTTACGAATAAAAATTGGTTATCGATCTAAAGGTCCTCTAGGTAACGTTATTGACAATGATCCTCGAATATGTCAAGTGAAGGTGGGTGTGAGTAAGTGCGTCTGTTACGAAATTTGTATTTCGAGGTTTATTAAGTGTTGCGCTTGTGACGAAATCTGCATTTCGAGGTTTACTAAGTATTGCTTTTTTCTTCAAAATTGCGTTTCGAGATTTTTAAAGCGTTGTATTTGTAACGAAATTTAATCTTTTAAGTGTTGCGACGGTTACGAGATTTAAATATCGAAATTTCAAAAGTATTATATGTATCACGAAATCTATATTTCGAGGTTTATTGAGTGTTATGCCTGCTACGAAATCTGTATTTCGAGATTCATTATATATTGTGTTTGCCACGAAAACTACATTTTAAATGTCATTGTGCATTCTATTTGCGACGAAATTTGCATTTCGAGGTTTGTTAAATATTGCGTCTGCTACGAAATTTGCATTTCGAGGTTTTTTATTAAGTGCTGGATCTGCCACGAAATTTGCATTTCGAGGTTTATTAAGTATTGCTTTTTTGACGAAATCTGCATTTCGAGGTTTACCAAGTGTTGGGTTTATCACGAAATCTGCATTTCGAGATTCATAAAATGCTATATTTATATATCACGAAACCAATTTTTTTCAATATTCACTACGCGTTGCACCGACGAAATCTGCACGTCGAGGTTTACCAAGTGTTGCGCCTGCTACGAAATCTGCACTTCGAGGTTCCCAAAGTATTATATGTGTTATGAAATCTGCATTTCGAGGTTCCCAAAGTGCTGCGCCTGTCACGAAATCTGCACATCGAGGGTCACAGAGTGTTGCGCTTGCCACGAAATCTGCAAACGAACCATATGTCCAAAAATACGATTCATTGCACCTGTCACGAAATCTGAGTTCGTTGACGATCGCCGTCATGTCTAAAGTGTTGCACCTGCCACGAAAATTGTCTTTCGAAGTAAAACAGCTCCGACCCTTGCACCTGTTACGAAAAGTCGATTTTGGAGCACCAAAATATGAGTTTTCCCTTGTGTCTGCCACGAAAAGTCATCACCATGTGCGCAAATGCGCACGGTACCAAAACGAGAGCGTAATCGCTAGAAGCACCCAGATTCTGCGAGCCTGCGCAATCGAAACGCACAGTGACGATGTCGAGAGGCATGAATATATTGTAAATAGCAACGAATTAACATCAATTGCTTTTCCATTACCGTAAGAATCCCTCAGTTTGCCCACACTGCTTGGGGAATAATTTGAATGTTCTTTGATAGGATTGAAGACAGAAATTTTAATTTGTAGTAGTTATATATTGAAGAAATGGATGATGAATTCTTATTTATTAATTTAAGATATGTGAATATTTAGTAATATCTATCTATGAAAAATATTTTTATAATTTAATATATAAAAATGTAAAATCCATATATGGAAATAATATATAAAATCCTTTAAAATATGGAAATTGAAAATTCTATATTCTTTGTTTTTTCTAATATTTAGGAGTTTGTCGAATTCTTAATGCATAAAAAAATAAAGAAGATCATATATAGACGTTTTCTATTTAGTTAAATCATTCAAATATTCATAGTTCGCACATTTGTTTATATTATGGTTTATAGGCATTCCATTTGATTGGATCCGTTTAAATATGTGTATCAAGAAAAAGGAGCAGCGCTAGCATTCATTTTTGGTTAAAACCGTTCATTGTTGGCCTATAGGAAAGAAAACCCAATAGCCAAGAAATTGTTTGATTATTGAGAATCCAGGTATATATGTTTGGGTATGAACTATTAAAAAATAAGATTTGGAATAATAACTACAAAGGATAATTTGGACGTAAGGGATAAGGAAAACAATTTAATATATCTTGATTTACGAATTAAAGTTGGTTATCGATCTAAGGGTCCTATAGGTAACGTTATTGACAATGATC